AAACGTGAAGGAAGCGAAGGAGCCGAGGCATCGCAAGGACAACAGGCGTCCAGACCTGGAGATTTACAAGCCTGGCCTCTCCCGGCTGAGCAAACTTGTGCTGCCAAAGCCCGAGGCGTCGGAGAAGGAGAGGAGCAAGGCTGAGGAGGAGAGTGCCAGCGACAAGGGCTCTTTGGGAGGAGGGACTCCAGACAGGGAGGTCTTCAGCAAAGGTGATGGCCCCAAGCAGAACGGTCCTTCACAAGAGAACGAGGAGATGGAGACTAAAGGTGGTCTTCAGAGCCAGGAGAACTTGTCCAAGCAGCCCGTTTCCGATGAGTGGTGTCCCAAAGCCTCCAGGAGAGCCAAGAAGCCAGACCAGCAGATCTACCAGCCTGGGAAACGCCTGCATGCGGCTGCTAAAGAACCGTCCCTGCGGGCAGCCACTGAGGAAGTCACCAGTAAGATGGAGCAGCTGAAAGTCGAGCGAGATGAAGAGACCGAGAAAGGCCCTGGAAAAGACGGTAACAGGAAACCCAAACTGAGCAAGGAGGATAGAGAGGGGAGCCAGGCAGGGGAAGGAGCAAAAGCCTTAAGGGGAGAAAAAGGAAGACGAACGGAGCGAAGTGACAGGATAAGGAGAACAAGCGAGGAGGTGATGCAGGGGAAGCTGCGCTCTACCAAACGGTACTCCCGCTCTGACAAGCGGCGGAGCCGGTACCGCACCTGCAGCACAAGCTCAGCCGGAAGCAACAACAGCGTAGATGGAGCCCCGGTTGTGGACGGGGTGGAGAGGCGACAGGAGCGTGCCAGGGAAAGGGTACGTCCTAGAAAGCAGCTCTCGGTGTCCTCCACGGACTCCTTGGATGATGACAGAATCGATGAGGCAGAAGCATACATCTCCAGCAAAGAAAACGCGTTCTGAGCGGAGTCGAACTTCTAGGAGCGAGAGTGAGTGGACCAGCAACGGCAGGGAAGTCAAGGGACACTTTCGAGTGACGTTTGACAGCAAGACTATGAGCAGGGACGTCAGTCTGGCAGACACAGATAAAAAAAAGCCCCTGAAGGCGTTGGTTAGTTGCAATGACCCAGAGGCTTCGGAGACGAGGAGCCGGAGCAGAGGGCCCCAAGGGAGGGGCCGTGGGATTCTGTTCTTGCCTGCCAACACAGACCTCTCTGCCAGCACCGCCGGCTCCCCCGAACCCACTCACCCTGGGCCCAGGCTCCTGCTCGGGGGCACTGGGATTAAAGGCCCACGAAGCAGGGGGCGAGGCGGCACTGCTCGCAGGCTGTGGGACCCAAACAACCCGGACCAAAAACCCGCCCTGAAGAGCCAGACCGCTCAGCTTCACTTCCTAGACACGGACGATGAAGTGAGCCCCACCTCCTGGGGGGAAGCCCGCCAGGCCCAGACATCCTACTATAAGTTCCAAAACTCTGATAATCCCTACTATTACCCTCGGGCCTCTGGTCAAGGCCCCCAGTATCCTTACGGGGGGTACTCCCTGCAGTATCCCATGGGTCCAAGCAACGGTGTGTACCCAGGAGCCTATTACCCTGGGTACCCCGGCCAGGCGGGGCAGTACCTGTGTGGCCCACTGCCCCCGACTCCTCTGAGTCCTGAAATGGAGCAGCAGATGCGGAACATGCAGCAGCAGGAGCTCAGCAAACTCCTCCGTGAAGCTGGGAACCAGGAGCAGCAGCTGAGCAATCTGCTTTCCAGAGACCGCATCAGCCCGGAGGGGCTGGAGAAGATGGCCCAGCTGAGGTTTGTGGTTGTAGAGGAGTGGGACTGAGTCCTTTCCAGGCTGAATTGCTACCAGAACTGTTATCCAGGGAATGATGTCTCCTTGGGGATCTGGTAGACTGGAGATGTCGATGTCTTGGAGACTGAGCGATGTGGCTGATGGCTTTTGATGTGCTGGGGCTGTTTGTGGTGTGCAAGCAGTTGAAACTCTGGGCACAGATACCATTAGCCTGGGCTGGGAGCTAAGCTGTGGCTTGTAGAATGCTTTGTCCGCGTTGCAGGGACACGGGGGAGCAGGACAAGCACCTGCTGCGGCTTTTAGGGAGCGGATCTCAGTTCCAGTGCTCCCTCGTGCTTTCAGGGTTTGCTGGCAGACTTCTGCTTTCTTACCTGTCCTCGGTTCGCTGCCGTCTGATTTACGCAGTGGGCTTCAGGGGTGGCGGCTGTTGGCTTGTTGCGTGGGTTCCTGCCGCCATGTAGCAGCGGCGGCGCCTTTCCAGCGGCTCCCGGCACCGCTAGCACCTGTCACGTACGGCGATCCGGTGGGAGCAACCTGGTGATGCCAGCTAGGGAGGGGGAAGTGACGCTGCTGCTCTGGAGGACAGTTAACCTGGCTGTAGCCAGTTTCCTTCTGGCATCTGTCACATTTACTTGTCAGCTCCCTGTCTTCTCTGGGGTCTTATTTTCAGAGCTGAGTGGCAGTAAACTTAGGAGGGGTGCTCATTTCAGTGCTCGTTCTGTGTTCTGGGGTCGTGTGCTGTAGAGTGCAGGGTGGGATACATCTTGGGGTTGGGTTTTAGGTCTTTCTCAAGGTGTCGGTGTCACTCAGAGGGAGAGGAAAGGCTGTGCCGTGCTGCTGTGAAGCCCACCCTGCCCTGGGAGCGTAGGCACGGTTGGCAGTGTCTGCTGGAGCTGTTCAATTCGGGGGAGGAGTTCTGCCCCAGCATCCGGGCCCGGCTGAAGGCAGCTGGCGAGGGGAATGGGATATCTGGGACCGTGAGGCTTTGCTTCCTTCAGGTGCGACGTTCCCAGCTCTCGTTCCTTTTTGGGGAAGCAGGGTCTCCGTTTCTGCGGTGTGTTTTGGTTGGGTGGAAGGGAGGTGGGGATTGTTTTAATGGCAAGACGTCTCCTCTGGCTCTCTGTGTGTTTGTTCCCGACCCTTAGTAGCCAGACTGCGCTCAGAAGGAGCAGAGCCTGGCAGTGCTGCATGCCAGGAGATGCCTGTGCCTCGCTGTTCCCAGTGGCAGAGCTCCTTGCTCTGTGACAGGCCCTGATCCTTCCTGAGGCAGATGTAAAAGGGAGACACTCCTTGCAGATTTGCCCTCCCTGGAGCAGGAAGGGTGTTGGATGGCAGCAGCTCCCATCTCCCACTGGGATGAGAGTGGAAGTATTGGTTTAGTGTAGCGTGCGAGCCGGCTGAGCCGCTGGCACCTCGTGCTTGCGGGATGGAAAGCGGTGGGACGGAAAGCAGCGGGACGGAAAGCAGCGTGTGGCTCTGCGCCTGCTGCCGGGCAGCTCAGGGCTGGGTGGTTGCTGGTGGGTGTTGACAGCTGGTCGTGTTTCGCTGTAGGGTGGAGATGCTCCAGCTGTATGAGCGGTGCATCCTGATGGATATCGAGTTCTCCGATACCCAGAACGTGGACCAACTGCTGTGGAAGAACGCGTTTTACCAGGTGATTGAGAAATTCCGCCAGCTTCTCAAGGACCCTCAAGGCGAAAATGCCCAAGAAATTCGGAACAAACTGCTCCAGCTTCTAGACGAGGTAAGAATAAAGAAACATCCCCAGACTCCAGTAAACCTCTGGGTGGGATTGACTGGTGTTTAGGATGGGATGGAGTAGCCGGACGATAGCCACCTCGATCCCGCTCGTATCTCCGTGCGCCTTAGGCCAGGTGGGTGCGAGGGGAAGGCTCGGACAGACCGTGCATTAGGGTGTAGGTCCAGGTGGACACTTGTTATAGCTTAAACCAGGCTTGTTTTGGTGTGTTTTGTATTAATTAGAAATTGATTTAAGCTAAATTTTCCCTGAGGTGGAAATAAACAGAAGCATTCCTGGTGGTGTTTGTACCATCTTCATCAAATTTGCTCAGTTTGCCCTTTGTGGAAGGTAGGCTGGCAGATCCAAGAGGATGTGTTTTATAGGATTATGTTGGTGGAAAGGGACTGCTGGAGGGCTCTAGCCCAACCTCCTGCTCAAGCAGGGCTCCTCAAACACTAGACCAGGCGAGTCTTCCTTTTTGTCTAGCTCGGTCTTGAAAACCTCTGAGGTCGGAGGTCCCCGGCCTCCTTGTTTTCCGAAGAGAAACAGCCCAAACCTCAGGGAGAGGGACCTTCCTGCACGTGGCAGGGATGATTTGGTGATTTTTGCGCTTGTCGTCAGCGAGCTCGTAACATCCAAGTACGTGTGTGTTTTGTAGGGCACCTCTTTTTTTGATGGCCTGCTCCAGAAGCTGCAGGTGTCGTACCAGTTCAAGCTGGAGGACTACATGGACGGGATGGCCATCCGCAGTAAACCGCTGAGGAAAATGGTAGGTTGGCTTCCTCCTGGAGACTTCTCATCCTGTTAATGGTATGCAACACACTGAACTCGCTGTGCTGCCCTTGCCAAGGGGTAGGCAGCTGGATTCCAAACAGGGAACCTCTCAGCTGTTAGAGAACTTGTTGAACCCACTCCGGCACGTTGACATTTCTTAGCTTCCTTTGCAAAGAACCCTTTTTGTACCAGGTCTGAGACCAGAGCTAATAGAGAGAAAGAAGTGTCCAAAGGTACCCTGGCTTTGCCTTGGTATTGCACATCTCTAATTTCTGTCCGTGGAATCCAGGATAATGTACAAGGGAAGCTAACTGTCACGCTGCCTCCTGACACTCGGCAGCCTGTTGCCCTGAGCCGTGAGTGCTGGTGCGAGGGACAGCTGGGAAAGGATGTTGTAGTCCAGCTCTGTTCCCAGAGAGATGGGTTTGCCTAGCAGCTGTCCTCAGATTGGTCATGGACCGAACAACTCTCTGCTGGAGGGGGCTGGGATGCTGTTTTACAGAGGAGGTGTTTAGGGGATCAGCTTGCCCCTGCAAATGCTGAACCAATGCCGTGGCTCCTTGTCCTCTCATTTTCCTGCCCTTTCCGAGACCTTCAGGGTGTCGGTGACCTCCTCGTAGCTCTGCAGTCCCCGTGTCCTCGCTGGGGCTGTGCAGGTCCCACGTCACATACCGAACGCTTCCTTCCAGGTGAAGTACGCGCTGATCAGTGCCCAGAGGTGTATGATTTGTCAAGGGGACATTTGCCGATACAGGGAACAAGCGAACGACACCGCAAACTACGGGAAGGCACGCAGGTATTGTGCTCTTCGTGGTAACGCTGAGCGCAGCTCTTTGTCTACAGGGGATGTATCTCGTTTCACGCTTAAACTTGCCTCTAGCCAGCCTTTCCACGTCTCTCTGCTGTACTGCAGTTCCCTGAAGCTGAAAGGTGTAGCCTGGGTTGTTTTGTTGTCCCAGACAGCAAGCCAGCAGATCCAGTCGTTGTCCATCCATCCCGTGTGGAAGTTACCGTGCGCTGATCCCGCAGCAGGGCGCGTTCCTGCTGTTGAGGCTGGCAGAATGGCTGGTGTTCTCCGGTAGCTTTTCAGCTAGGAGAGGTTCCCATATGTGTCCATATGTTTTGACCTCATCAGGAGTTACTGGCACTTGTGGCTTCCTGACGCACTTGTTTTTGTGATGGTTTTTCTGGAGCAAAGACTGGTGGGGGGCAGGTGAGCCTGGCATGGGGGATGGAGCCCTGAAATCTGTGGAGGTTAGGGGGAGGGAGAGCTGCCCATTGTGGGATCTGTGGATGTCATGGAGTGTGCTGGGATCTTGGGGAGGCTGGGGGTAACGTAGAATCACAGAGCGGTTTGGGTTGGAAGGGATCTTAAAGCCCCCCCCCAGTCCCACCCCCTGCCATGGGCAGGGACACCTTCCACC